GGATGGGCGACAGCTCTACTCTTGTCAGCTGAGAACAGGAAACTGAGGCTGTAATTTGCACAGTCTCACCAAAATTGGGCAATAGAAGACTGGAAAAACGTTGCCTGATCCTATGGGTCTCGATTTCTGGTGAAACTTTTAAATGGTAGAGGCAGAATTTGGCATCAACAACATGAAAGCATGGATCCATCCTATCTTGTATCAACAGTTAAGGCTGGTGGTGGTGGTGTAATGGTGTGGGGGATATTTTCTTGGCACACTTTGGGCTCATTAGTACCAAATGAGCATCGTGTCAGCGCCACAGCCTACCTGAGTATTGCTGCTGACCATGTCCATACCTTTATGACCACAGTGTACCAATCTTCTGATGGCTACTTCCAGCAGGATAACACGCCATGTCATGAAGCACGAATCATCTCAGACTGGTTTCTTGAACATGACAATGAGTTCACTGTACTCAAATGGCCTCCACGGCCACCAGAACTCAATCCAATAAAGCACCTTTGGGATGTGGTGGAACAGGAGATTTGCATCATGGATGTGCAGCTGACAAATCTACAGCAACTGCGTGATGCTATCATGTCAATATAGACCAAAATCTCTGAGGAATATTTCATGTACCTTGTTAAATCTTTGCCATGCAGGATTAAGGCAGTTCTGAATCTGAAGGCAAAAGGGGGTCAAACCCGGTACTAGTAAGGTGTACCTAATAAAGTGGCCGGTAAGTGTAAATTGTTCTTCATCCTTAAATACTCAAGTATGCATATAAATAATCGGACATTCCCTATAGCATGATGTATCCGGAAAAGATTAATAGAACTTAATTTCGTAATCAAAAGCACAACTTCTAGTTTACCCCCCTCCGAAAAAGTGCATCTGTAGCCTTATTCAATATTAGGCGTAAAAAAATGTGTAAAATTGGGCTAGATTCCCAGCTGATGACTCACTGACTCTAGCGGATCTCAAAACTGCAGTTTTCCTCCACAGAAATAAGCACATTATTAACCCAAACCAGTAAACGATGGGTGTATTTGGAGACATTATTGTTTTGAATGATCGTCACCAGTTTACTCGAATCCAAATGCGTCATGCTCTACATTGAGTCAATACAATTACTGTGAATTTATGCATATGGTGTGTTGAGATACACAGCGGTTATGTGTGTGTGAAGGGAACAGACACTTTTGATCTCAGTCCATATCTCCAGAAACAGCTTGGCTCAGAAAGCCAGCCAGAAACGCAGGTACCGTAAAACATCTAATATGGGAGACCGTGTTTTGGCTAATGCAGATAACATGGATTGCAACATATGAGTAATTGCAGCCAAGTCTTGACCTTGATTTAAACTGCTGATGTCATACTAGGGGAATTAAGGACAGTTAATGCAGTATTGTTTATTTTACAATGTCCTTTATGAGTTTAAATCTCATTTATCATTTATTAAAAAATATATATAGTAAAGCAAAAGGTTTTGACATATAATTACAATTTAAATTAATTAAAATTTTAAATGGCTATTTTTTTAGATATTTTTATAAATTATGTAACATGTAAAAGAGTAATTTAAGTTTGTAATTTATTAGTAATTGTCTTAAAACATTAAAAAAAAAATGTTTCTGCTAGAAAACTTAATTTTTTAGCATTGCAACTCTAATTTCTTATTTAAAACAATGCCTATATATATTCTAATAAAAAGAGTGGTACTGTAAATTAAGGATTTGTTATTTATTATTTAATAACGTGGGATGGTAAACATTACATCTATTTGGGTAATTAAAATGTAATAGTAAACATTGAATCTGTTTTTGTTAAAATACATGTTCATGACTGATTTAGTTCATCCCATTCAGTCTTCACAATTGGCTCCTTTCTGGACTGTACCATATGGAATCAGACTTTACCATATGGAGTTTGTCTAATGTTTATTTTGTACTGGAGAGAAGACATGTTTCTTGCAGTATTTATGTATCATTCATTCATTCATTTTCCTTCGGCATAGTTCCTTTATTCATCGGGGGTCGCCACAGTGGAATGAACCACCAACTTATCCAGCATTTGTTTCTATCACCTCAAAATTATTGCAAGAATTAGACACTTTGTTTCCAGTGAGGATTTAGAAAAACTTGTTCATGCTTTTATCAGCAGCAGGGTGGATTACTGTAATAGACTCCTCACGGGCCTTCCCAAAAAAGACAGCTCATCCAGAACGCTGCGGCCAGTATTCGGATCAGAACCAGAAAATCAGAGCACATCCTCAGGTCTTTACACTGGCTCCCAGTTCTATTCAGAATAGATTTTAAAATATTATTATTGTCTATAAATGCCTAAATGGCCTAGGACCTCAATACATTACAGATATGCTCACTGAATACAAACCCAACAGATCACTCAGATCAGCAAGATCAAGTTATTTATTTCTTTTGCTTACAGTTTTTGCTAATATGGTTTAATTATCATTTTTTTTTTTACAATACATTGCTTTAATAGGAGATTACTCGTTTTACACATTAAAAAATTGTGGCTAAGAAATACTTATTTGGTGTGGTCAGAGATAATTTTTCTAAATCCTTAATTTTGAGCCCTGAGAAGTCATGAAATAAAACTGATTGCATTGTGACACAACAACCCTTGCACACGGAGCAAGCTAATACACAACACACACAAGATGTGAAATGAATGAGAAGGCATGTGGACATAACACAACATCTAAATCAGTAATTTAGCATGTCAGAGTCAAATTTAAGCAAAATATATTTTCCCAACAAGAAAAGTGTGGCTAGTGAAAATGGCGAATAGCCAGTAATGTTGCAAATCTACTAGCCACAGTGGCTGGTGATCAAAAAAGTTAGGGCCCTATCATACACCCGGCGCAATGTGGCGCAAGGCGTGGCGGAATACTTGTTTGGTAGTTTTAGCTTGGCGCAAGAGTCGTTTTGAGGCGTTGCGCTACCCTGTTTAAATTGCAAATGCATTAGCGCTCATATGTGCGCCCATAGGCGTTCTGGTCTATAAAGGAAGGCGTTCTGAGGTGCACTGCCGGCGCGTTGCTATTTTGAAAAAACAAAAATAGATTTTTCATCAGACCAAAACAAACCCGGTCTAAACTCAAAGTTGCGCCTTGCTTACACACTGCTTAATACGCACAAGCAATAGGCAAATATCTTTACATATGAAAAAATTTAATTATTAAGGATATATATAGTATATAATAAGAATAGATATAGGATATAAATATAAAGGATTAAAATATTACAAAACATATTATTTTCTAGCCTACATGCATATGAAAAATCACTGCTTTTATGTCTTCTTCATCTCGGGAGGATTTTTCAGTTCATTCATAACAATTTGCTTTTGTATAATGTTTTTATTATTTGCAGTATTATATATTATATCCATATTTATATTTGTTTTATTAAAAACAAGCTTAGATTTGCCCACCTGTCAGGTTTTAGACCATATGGGGCACAGCATGTGTTTTAGGATATAACTTGTTGTTTATTTATTCGTTTGCTGAAATTAGAACTGAATTTAGAAATAGTTTTAAAACGAATATTTGCGCTTAACAAACGATTAAAAATTAATTATTTATAGACTAATTGATGTCTGTGCGTAAAGGTTTCTCTATCCAAAAGTTAAAAGTGATCCATATCTCTCATTCTCACGCAGTAGATGCTCTGTTTAACAGTTTTCTGTTAAAAAAAACTTAACTGTGAACTGTTTGCAAGTGAAATGCTCAGTTTTTCCACTTAGACTTACTTTGCGTCCTGTAAATAGCGAATGCGCTCTTGGCGCGACGCATCTGGCTCTTAAAGGGAATAGGAGATGAGATTGGTTTATTCTCAAAACACACCTATAACTCATTAAGAAAATAAACTCAACCCTTTTAGACCATGCGCCATGGCGCAAAGCGGTTTGCGCTCTGCACATGGACCGTCAAAATAGAGCCCTTAATGTCAAGCCCTGATAATAGTAAACATTCAAAACTACAGTATTGTGTTAAAATACGTTTTCATGACTGATTCAGGTTGTCCTGTTCAGTCTCTTAAATGATTCATTTACATAATTGGCTCATTTTTCGGCCTGTACCATATGGAGTCAGACTGTACCATATGGTGTTTGTCTACTGAATGTTCATTTTGTGCTTAAGAGAAGACTTGTTATCTTTTCATTTAATCACAGATCAGTGATGGCAGAAGATGGCACTAGAAACCCTAATAACATTAGTACTGTCTAACATGAGAACCGTGAATTTGACAAGCATTAGGAGTGAATGTACTGTAAACGAACACACTTGAAAAACTGAAGGGTATAACGTGTGTGTGTTCAGGCTGGAGATGTTCAGCACTGCAGTGTTAAAAGCTTACAGTCTGACAGCAGTCGTCCGAACAAAGCAGTCAAAGACACTTAGTAGTCACGTATATTCAGACACTCTCAGACGGACTCTTGCTGTATGTTTTTCTGCACACAGGGATGATGTGAGACATGGATGAGTCGGCAAAGACGTGTTTCTGCAGTTATTATCTTTGTCTCAGCAGGATCCTCCTCTGAATGTCTCGTCCCTCTCTCTCTCTCTCTCCCTCTCTAGCTTTAATCCAAATCCCTTTTCAACATTCTCTCTCTCAAGATCACGAAATACAGCTCTCAGTCTACATAAATCATACTTTCAAATTTCAACTTAAACCAAAGCAAGGCATGCTTAACAAATGCTGGTCAACAAATATATGTTGTTATTGGTTGGTGCTGATTTCATCATTTCATATTTAATCAAATATAAACAAATATATGCATGTAAACAACATAAAAAATGATAAAATTGAAATATTTTCCTTATAAAATATTTATCTAAATTTTAAATCTAATCAATTATGTATAAAATATAATGTTGATGGTGGATGTTAATTATCTGAATCTTCTTTGTGCATTTTTTAAAGATTTGTCCTTAAATATCCTCTGTTTTGACAGTGGATGTAAAAGTGGTTGTGTGTCTCCCTCTGCAGGTCAGTCAGGGGAATGTGCCCGGAGTGGAGAGCGCGTCTCTGGCCATGGACACTGAAGAGGGTGTTGAGGTGGTCTGGAACGAGGTTTTCTTCCAGGACAAGAAGGTCTTTAAGACAGTGGAGGTGAGTTCTTAAATAATAGTTTTAAGTTTACTAAAAGCTACTTTAAAAAAAACTCTTAAAACGGAAAATTGTTAGAAAAATTAAAGTTTCTGAAAAGGTTTCACCAAGGTTACGTGGAATTGATTATACTTTACTTGATGTTGAAAACATGCCAAAAAAAAAACACCTTAAAGAAGCGAATTGATTTGTTGTCAATTTATTACCTTGGCATCATTCAATTGGTAACATTGGTGTTAAAAAACACAAAAATATATATTACAGGACAGTCGATTTTTGACGTTTTTTTTGTGCATTTGTGTAGGACAAAATGAAGGAGATGTTTGAGAACCTGACACAGGTGGATCATCCCAACATTGTCAAATTCCACAAATACTGGCTGGACATTAGAGACAACCATGCTAGGGTAACACATACACACAAACACACACACACACACACACACACACACACACACACACACACACACACACACACACACACACACACACACACACGTTTGTTTTTGTGAAAAGTGGGTACATTAAATAGGTTTACATTCATTTTATTCTGTTCAAACCGTATATTGTATTGCCCTCACCCCACCCTACCCCTAAACCCAACCATCACAGGAGACTGTGTATAGCTTTACTCTCTGAAAAAACTCATTCTGTGTGGTTTATAAGCTTTTTGAGAAATGAGGAAGTCAGCAATGTCCTTGTATTTCTCCTTTTTGTAATACCTGTGTCATACCCATGTCATTATACAGATTTGTGTCCTGATATGTCACAGAAACACGTACACACACACACACACACACACACACACACACACACGTTAATGCTCTTTCATTAGAAAGAATCTTTAGTACTATTATATTTTTTCATTCATTCATTTTCCTTCATCTTACTATTCCAACATATGTTTTACGCAGCGGATGCCTATCCAGTTGAAACCCTGTACTGGGAAACACCCATGCACTCTCTCATTCACACACGCTTACACCAATTTAGTTTATTCAATTCCCCAATAGCGCATGTTTTTAGACTGTGGGGGAAACCGGAGCACCCAGAGGAAACCCACGCCAACACGAGGAGAACATGCAAACTCCACAAAGAAATGCCAACTCGCCCAACCGGGACTTGAACCAGCGACCTTCTTGCTGTGAGGTGAAAGTCACTGTGAGCCACTGTGCCACCCTATTATACTTTTTTATTAATAAATATTTTTATATTATATAAATCATTTTTATAAATATTTTAAATATTTTTATTTTTTATATTTTATTGTATTATAATACATTAAAAATAATGCTTGAGTAGGAAACAAATCTGCCAAGTTACAAAGCACAAATTCACATTTATTAATAGGAGAGGTTTTTTTTCCAAGCAAAAAAGGGGCTTTATAACACAGTGTATTCAATGAACCTTGAGGTATTTTGAGCTGTTCATCAAAACATTCTGGAGATTCCTGACACCTAAATTAAATCTTAAGGGAAAGCTAAATAGGATTTCTTTGATTTTGCAGTTTGGTGCAGTCAGGCCCGGATTGAGAATTCAGAGGCCCCTGGGCACAATGTCTTGTTGCCCCACACACTTATAAATGATTCCTACTTGTCTTCCTCGATGAATAGTAGACAAAATCTGATATGTACTGGGGAAAAAACGTGTTGCTATGCGCTTTACGAGCTACGCCACTCACGCTGCTGTATGCCACTCTCTTTAATTCTGTTGGCTCTATCAATCAAAAGGTGATGGGCGGGAATCACTCAACTAGCTTATTCCAACGAGGTGCGCTATTTGCACGGGCCCCTGGGCCTGTGCTCATAATGTCCATTAATTAATCCGGCCATGGGTGCTGTGGCACAGAAATGGCACAGGTTGTCCGTAGGGTATTAAATAGTCTTTATAATGTCTTAAATTTGAAAAACAAAGGCCTTAAAAAGTCTTAAATAGACTGAAATAATGTCTTGTGGGTCTTAACCAATATATTTAAAAAATATAATATTATCTTAAACATAAGATTAATAATATTATATTAGATATAAAAATATTTCCCAGTGATGGATTGCAGCTGGAAGGGCAAAACGTGCTGGATAAATTGGCGGTTCATTCCGTTTTGGAGACCCCAGATTAATAAAGGGACTAAGCCGAAAAAGAAAATGAATGAATGAATAAATGAATGAATGTAAAAATATTATACAGGTTTTAACTTTCCTACATGTAAAGTTACACAATCTAATCACCAACAATACATCTAAAAAAAACTTTTAGCAAAATTGTGCAGACTGTAAGCTGAAATTTCATTTATAAATGTGTTAAAAAAAGTCTTGAATTTGACTTTGTGAAACCTGCAGAAGGGCGACACATTGGCGCTGTAGGTAGTGCTGTCACCTCATAGTAAGAAGGTCGCTGGTTCAAGCCTCGGCTGGGTCAGTTGGCGTTTCTGTGTGAAGTTTGCATGTTCTTTGCGTGTTCACGTGGGTTTCCTCCAGGTGCTCCTGTTTCCCCCACAGTCCAGAGACATGCGGTACAGGGGAATTGGGTAAGCTAAATTGTCCATAGTGGATGAGGGTGTATGGATGCTTCCCAGAGAAGGGTTGCAGCTGGAAGGGCATCCGCTACGTAAAACATTTGCTGGATAAGTTGGCGGTTCATTCCGCTGTAGCGACCCTAGAAGACTAAGCCGAAAAGAAAATGAATGAATGAATGAAACCTGCAGAAAGAGGTTGCATTACTTGACTTTTATAGATAGTATTTATCGTAAAAGATTCTTAGAAATCCATAGCATGTAAATTAAATCTTTATTTTGTCTGTTGTGAAAGTGATTCAGAATACAGTCTGCATATAAAGTCTGATTCAGAAAAATTCAATCTCCTGCAGTGTGAGATTAAATGTACTTTGCTCTAAAGCTGAAGTGGCCATTATATGGAAACATGTTTTATTTTTTCTGCTCATTGCAGGTTGTGTTCATCACAGAGTACATGTCGTCTGGCAGCTTGAAGCAGTTCCTTAAAAAGACCAAGAAAAACCACAAGACCATGAATGTCAAGGTCAGACATTTGTCATGAGGATATTTTAGCCCCCGACCGAAGTCTAAATATATGTTTTACATAAGAAATGACTGTGTTTCAGGCCTGGAAACGCTGGTGTACACAGATTCTCTCCGCCCTCAGGTGACACTCTCCTGCATTTGTGGACAGTTGAAGTGAAATTATAAGCTCTTCCTCTCAAATGATGTTTAATAGAGCAAGGACATTTTTCACAGTATTTCCTATAATATTTTTTGTTCTAGAGAAAGTCTTATTTGTTTTATTTTGGCTAGAATAAAAGCATTTTTTATTTATTAAAATCCATTTTAAGGTCAATATTATTAACCCCCTTAAGCTATATTTTTTCTCGATTGTCTAAAGAATAAACCATTGTTATACAATGACTTGCCTAGTTAACTTATTTAACCTAAAAACCCATTTTCTGTAATATTTCAGGAGGGCTAATAATTCTGACTTCAAATTTGTGTTGGTATTGTTGTGTGTGTGTTTGTGTGTGTGTGTGTGTGTGTGTGTGTTTAAACCTTGGAAATTGTACATTAACAAGCATGCACCTTCTTCCACTCATCAGTTACCTGCACTCCTGTGACCCTCCCATAATTCACGGCAACCTCACATGTGACACCATCTTCATTCAGCACAACGGCCTTATTAAAATCGGATCAGGTATATTTTTTTACTGCACTTAATTGCACTAAATAAAAGCACTTTAGAGGAGAGGAACACTTATTTAAAAGGATATTTTAGATTTATATCTGTAGATCCATTATAAAAACTTGTTCTTGTTTCTTTGTTAATTGTTTCTTTGTAAATTGAATTGAATAAATTCAGTATAATTTTGTATAATCATCATCTGTTGACTTTTGCTTTTGTTTTGTTTTCTCTCTGTGTAGTTTGGCATCGACTCTTTGTGAATGGTAAGAGCCATTTCAGCATCTCACACAGTATGTAATTTCTACAACTTAACCATTAAACCTACATTTTATTACATTTTTGTATGTGTGTCACATGTTGCTCTTTGTTACCAGTTTCAATTCGATTTAAAATCTGTTCAGCCTTACAAAAAATTAAACAAAAGAAGATCCAAAATACAACATCACACTTTTAAGCCTGATTTAGCACTGTATGATTAAAAAAACATAAGGTTTAAAAAAAAAAAATCAAATTACTGATTGAATCACTTGCAAGGTAGTCTTTATGGTAAGATAATTGCTCTAAACCTTAATATATTCTCAAATATTGTTAGAATTAATAACCAACAATGTCCCTTTGGTTTATTTGCTAACATGGACTAACAATTGCCTCTCTGGTTCTACCGCTAACTGTATAAAAAAATAAATAAATAAAAAATAAAAATAAAAAATTACTAATGTTTTGCTTCTTACACTTTACATACCTGAAACTTGCCTACAGCACTTATTCATTGTTGCTCTTAAAGTTGTGTAAATTGCTTCCAAGTCCTCGTTTGTAAGTCGCTTTGGATAAAAGCGTCTGCTAAATGACTAAAAGTAAATGTAATCAATGAACACTATATTTACAGTATTAATTAATATTTGGTCATTTTAGTTCATGAAAATAAGTCATAAGTCATTCATTGTTAGTTAACTCGCAGCGCATTAACTAATGTTGCACTGCAAAAATTGTGGAGTTATGTTAAATCGAGAAACATTTTCTAGCAGGGTGGAGTCATAAAAAGTCTTAAAATAGTCTTAAATTTCAAAATTAAAATTTCAGGCCTTAAGTCTTAAATCTACTGAAATATTGTGTTGTAGGTCTTAAATCTTGTTTTAACTGGTCTTAATTTTCCTATGTCCATGTAAAGCTACCCAATCGGGCCAACACCCATTCAATTACTATCATTCCTGCTAAATGAAAGTTTTAACAAAAATTTTATTCGTTAACTCTTATTTATTAACTCTTTTTACCAAGTCTGTTTATGTTTCTATTCTTAAACATATGGTTTAATTATCCTTGGTTTAATTATTCCTCATAATAACATTTGTTTTTAAAGTTTTAACTGGGCTGTTAGAAAAAAATTCTTAGTGTTTAGCCTTGTGTATGTCGGAAATGTCATTCATGAAAGGTCTTAAAAAGTCTTAAATTTGACTTGATGAAGCCTGTAGTAACCCTGTCTAGAGAAGCAAAAAGTAAAATCTAAATAATGAAATAAAATCAAAGCAATATAATCTGCCAATGAAAAATAATCCTATATCAAAACAAAAACAAGATTTTTTTCTTAGCCCATTGGTGGATTATATTGTGTGTTTTAAGGAAAAACTCACTTAATTTAGAAGTATTATTTCTGAAAAAAAAATGTATATATTATTTGGTTGTTTAGAAAAGGCTTCTTGATTTAAGAAATTTTTGATTTTTGCACAAAAAGCAATGTAACAAGCACAACTTTTGTAAATGTTATCAAAAGTGATAACTATTATTATTATTATTATTATTATTATTATTATTATTATTATTATTATTAATATTGCTATGAAATTTACAACGTTTGTTTATTTTTAGTTCATGTTAGTAATTAAATTATAATGGAAACTTGTAAAAAATGACCTGCAAAATGAAAACAATAAAAAGCTAGCTATCAGTGCTTGGCAAGTGTTAATTTTAGGCCCTGGTAAAGTCAATAAATATGTCTGAAATGTATAACCCATTTATCTTTTCAACATTGCATGGAAGAAAATGCAAATTGACTCACTGTTGTCATATGTTGATACCCAGTATTTCCAGAAGGGGGCGTCCAAGGTAAACTAAACCAACACAGAGACGACAAGAGGAACCTGCATTTCTTCTGTCCGGAGTACGGCTGTGAGTGACAACACATCTTCACTTTCTCAACCCTCCTGTTGTCTTAGAAGTCTCGTTTGTCCTAACATAACCCTCCTTCACTACACCTTTGAAGTAAAGCAACTAAATTTCCATTTAATATAAATTTAAATTTGAAATTTAAATTCACAGCAAGTAGGTCGCTGGTTCGAGTCCCGGCTGGGCCAGTTGGCATTTCTGTGTGGAGTTTGCATGTTCTCCTGATGTTGCCGTGGGTTTTCTCCGAGTGCTCCGGTCTCCCCCACAGTCATATAGACATGCGGTATAGCTGAATTGGATAGACTAAATTGGCCACAATGAGTGTGTGTAAATGCGAGGGTGTATGGGTGTTTCCCAGTACTGGGTTGCAACTGGGAGGGCATCCACTGCGTAAAACATTTGCCGGAACAGTTGGTGGTTCATTCCGCTGTGGCAACCCCTAATAAATCAGACACTAAGCTGAAGGAAAAATTAGTGAATGTTAATTTTAGAAAAGTTGCCAAATTTCAAGACATTGTTTTTTTCTGCTGTTGAAATGGTGCACTGGTCATTTTTGACCCATAAGTCAACAGGAGGGTTAACTTTTTTTTTTACACTTTATTTTACCAGGAAAATCTCTTGATATTTGTAACCTCTTTTTCAAAAGTGTCCTAGGTAATTGTGTAGACTAGACAGACTAGTCTTAATCTTGTTTATATAGTTTATATTTCCTCATCTGTTCTTAGCTTGTGAAGATGACTACGCCATTGACATCTTTTCCTTTGGGATTTGTGCTTTGGAGGTAAGACCGAAAAAATGCAAGCATTTATGTTACATAAATGGTTGAATATTATTTAATAACAATATTTCTCCAGATGGCTGTGTTGGAAATCCAGGCTAATGGGGATTCCGCCGTGTCCAAGGAAGCCATAGCCAATGCAGGCCAATCATTAGAAGACCCACTTATGAGGGTTTGTATGTTATCTTAGTATGCCTGTCATGATATCTGTTTTTTGTTGTGTGATATATTGCACCAAAATATATTGCAATAAATGATATTACTGTCATTTTAAGACCATTTTATGCCACACATTATTGCCACAATGAAAATATAATATCATCACAATGCAAGCACACTCTTCAAAAGAACACATGTTATTTTATTCTTAAGAATATTTAATCTTATTATAGTCATTTTTAACAATTTAATAATCAGACATTGGAATCAGAATGTGAAAATGCAAATCCTAAATAAATAATAATAGATGTTAACAGTAAAGTGCAAGGTAAAAAAAAAGTAACCGAGGCTGCAATATCTGCTACCAGATCTATTTTCAGTTGTCAGTCGTCAAATATACTATAGTAATTTATAGTAAATACTATGTTTTTTTTTATCATACTGACATCTCCAATAGAATTAAAGATGTTGCAAAATCAGCTAAAATGTTGCTAAAATAGTTTTTTATGTATGGGTGATATATCTATTGCATCACCAAAAATGATTAAGGTCATGTCCACGTTTTATGCGATAAGTCGATATATCGATTATTGATACAGGCCTATATCTTAGGGTTGGTTTGTGTTAAATGTGCATTTTAGATGCTTTAATAAGCATTTAGCTTTTTTTTAAATTCTCAGAGGCGACACGGTGGCTCAGTGGGTAGCACTCGCCTCACAGTAAGAAGGTTGCCAAATTTGTAATTTTCAGGAATCAGTCAGAGTTGAGAGATTTGATTTAATATTTTAAAGATATGTGGAATCAAGCTTACAAACTACTTACAAATCCAAGCTTCAACTACTTACAAATCTAAAAAATATAAATAATATAAAAATAAATAAATATATGTAAATATAAACAAATAATTGTAATAGCATGTTGCTGGTTCTAAAGTAGTCTATTTTCTATCATGTTTCAGGAGTTCACCCAGATGTGTGTGCGCCACAATCCTTGCCTCCGGCCAACGGCACACGACCTGCTGTTTCACCGCGTGCTGTTTGAAGTTCATTCACTGAAGCTGCTCGCTGCTCACTGCCTCATCAATAACCAGTGTAAGAGCCCTTCAAAACTGATCAACATCAGATGTTTATGTTTGGCCACTCCAAAAACATTGTCTTTTCCTGTCCCTTATTCTGACTTATAAGGAGTCTCTGAAATATGCTACACAGAAGATGGTTTTTTATGTTATTGGCAAAAAAACACTGACTTGAAAATGGATCTGACATATATATATATATATATATATATATATACACACACATGAGTATACATAACCATATATATAAATTATTGTTTTTTTCTTGGCATTTTGAAAAAAATTTCAGTTCTACTTTTTCTATTTCAGTTAGTATTATATTCAGAATTATAAAAAAAACTATAAATATGAACAAAATATTTATTTACAGTTATTTTGTTGTAAAGGATTAAATGAGGATTCTAATATATTAAAAGTATAATTGATTATAATGGTTAAAAAATACATTTTTATTGTTATTTTGTTTATTTTTATATTAAATTTTTATTGGTGTTTAAAGACATGCTACCTGAAAACTGCGTGGAGGAGAAAACCAAATCCTTCGACCCAAATGGAGTCATGGCAGAGATTATTTACGGAGATCGTTCTCGCGTTCAGCTCAAGTAAGTCTCAACTTAAGCTACATTCAATTCTATTTTATATTTTATTTTTATTACTATTATTATTATTATTTGTTTTATTATTATTATTATTATTATTAATATTAAAGGAATGAATGTTATTATTTGTCTTAACAAATTAAATTGATCAAAAGTAACTTGAAATTTCATTCATTGATTAATTTTCTTTTTGGCTCAGTCCCTTTATTAATCTGGGGACGCCACAGCAGAATGAACCACTAACTTATCCAGCATATGTTTTTATGCAGTGGATGCACTCCCAGCCGCAACCCATCACTCGGAAACATCCATACACACTCATAACTTGAAAATGTTACACAAATTTCTGTTTCAAATTTATGCCGTTCTTTTGTACTAGTTGCTGTTCTGTTCATTAGAGAACACTTATAGTTTCACAGTTTTAAAGTTAAACTTAAACAATAAATGAGCATATCAGAATAACATCTAAAGGATCATGTGATGAAAAATGTCAGGGATACATTACAATTATAAAAAAAACATAATAGAAATCAGTGACATTATTGTAATAATTGTTAGTTTAATAATATTTCTCAATATTAGTTTTTCTGATCAAATAAATGCAGCTTTGCTGAGCATAAAGGATAAACTATTGAAAATTGTAAAGTATAAAAGTATATTAAACGAGGCAGTTTAATTCCTAATTAGAATATTTATTATTGTCATTCACTTAAAACATAAAAAAATAGTGTTAACACTTAATTTTGATGGTCCATTTGAGTATTAGTTGACTGTCCGCTTAATATCTGTTGATAGATCGTGCTCTTTCAACAGACATTTAACTGACTATAAGAAACTTTGCAAGTACATGTCAACAAACTAACCCTAAGCCCAACCTAGTAGTCTACTTATAATTTAATGAGAATTAGTTCAATTCAAATTACCTTTATTTGTATAGCGCTTTTACAATGTAGATTGTCAAAGCAGCTTCACATATAAGATCATAGTAAATTGAAACAGTGTAGTTCAGTTTTCAGAGTTTAAGTTCAGTTTAGTTTAGCTCAGTTCAGTGCGGTTTAAAGGGCCATGAAACCACCTCGTTTCAGCAGGGTGTTTTCACACCTCTACTTTGGAAAAAGTCAGAAAAGTGGGCGTGTCCGGCTCTGTTTAGGGGGAGTGTCGGAGGAACTAAAGTGGGATGGTGTGGGAGTGTCTATTTGTGCACGCGCGAGTTTCAGAGTCAAAATACACACCCACACAGACAGGAGAAAGTGATGGTGTTTAACCTACATGGACATCTGTAGTCGAATTATTTGCCAAATTATTAAATGTTGGACTTTAACTGCAGTTTGGCTCTTTCATTCAGGGAATTCATTCATGCCTCTCGCGACAAACGAGGTATTTGATTCGAGGAACTGATCTAAGCGTGTATTTTTCATGCAATGTTTGATACCGCACGGCGAATGAGAGAAAAAAACCCTCCGCATTTCCCGGAAACTTAGATGCACACGGCAGGTAGCGTCAGAAAGCCGCGTGTGTTATTCCGGTCACAAAATGCGGTGCTAACATTTCTGCACTCAGTGCAATAGTTAACTTAATTCGATACGAACAAACTGAATAAACAAAGAGCACTGGTCGCTCACTTACCAAATCTGTAGAGACAGGACAATCACCAGCAACTAGAGCCGCGTCTTTATGAAGAGAATACTACAAGCAAATCCAGATTTCAGCGTTTGCAGATGAGAACAGCTCTCAGGTAAACAATAATCCCCCTTAGACACGTAAGTTATTGTTGTCGAGCGTCGCGTACACTGTAATCCACACGTGATCCAGATAAGCTCTCACAGAGAGAAAATGAAAACGAAACTTAACGGCAGCAAACTATAAAAGCAACACTTCACGCTTGTTTTGCCAACACAACGTGCCGTCTTTGTGGTGTAAGCACGGTGACACAAATGAATATTAATGAAGTTGCACAGTAGAGCGCGCTGATTGGTTTGAACCAAGCCTTACTCATGCATTAATGCAGCACACTGTAAGACGTAATAAGACTCACTCTGGCACAGACGCCCAGTCTGCATGCTGGAATACAACGCTATTATGTCATGACGGTGACGCAGCTTCAAAAATTCATTTCAAACAGGAAGTACGAATTTGCTTGAAATAACGCAAAAACAACCAATTTACACTTTTTAGTGAAATATAGGTGTCCTAATAGTGTTTTTAGCAGTGTGGGACACATATACGACTGTCAACAGCTCAAAAAATGTGTTTTGGTGTTTCGTGACCCTTTAATAATCACTACTGAGAGTCCAAACACTGAAGAGTAATCCATTGATTCGTAGCTCTACAGATGCCCAAATATGCAAGCTAGTGGCATCAGCGGCGCCAATTTCACCAATTGGCGAGAGAGAAGAATTAAAAAACCTTGAGAGAAACCAGGCTCAGTTGGGCACGATCATTTCTCCACTTGCCAAACATCTTGTGCAGAGCTGCAGTCAAGGTGCGGGAGGCTGGAGCTGAACTTCAGCGAAGACTTGTCTATCCCTGGAGCGTCACAGAAATCAGTCTCATGCTTTCCACTCCTCCATGACCACCACAGCAGCTGCTCAGGATACGGCTTAGTCCAGGATTATGGAAACCTTGGGATCATCTCGTCGCTGGTCTTGGATAGAATCAGTGGCGATGCGTAGTCTGAGGGCCTCTGGAGGAGTATCCCAAGGTGGAAATAGAGAGTAAAGAGAAAATTAGCGGAGCTGCTGTTCATAGTGTATAGAAACGAGATGTAGAAACCTGCGTAGAGCACATTCATATCGCTAAGTGATGCACTGAGTGTGTGCTTTACTTAAAAGATTGCTTTTTAGTCTAGTTTTGATTTGGTAGAGTGTCTGAGCCTCAGACATTATCAGGAAGGCTATTCCAGAGTTTAGGAGCCCTAAATGAGAAGGCTCGATGTGGAGAGGTAAGCATGATCGAACACCCAGTGAGGGGGAAGAGCATGCTCAGAGCCCGGCGGCTAATCAGCAGGCCAATCAGAAATAATAAATAACACCTGTTTATTCTAGTGATTGGGCCTGAGAGACACCCTTCTTAAGCTGCGGTCACACTAGAGTTTGAGCATGCAAAATTCTGTCGTGCGGTGCTGAGAAAAGGGGCGGGATTAAACAAGCTTATTAGACATTTTTAAAAGCGAGCGATTGCTCCATGTTTTCCATTTCTGTCCAGAGATAACATGTTTTGATCCTCGACTGTTCTCACGCAGTCAAGTGATGCGATTTCGCAGGTCAGAGTTCACCAAGCTTGAACTCTGCACCGCAGCAACCTGCGAAACTTGACGCATGTTTCTGGTCAGACGCATTCGCATGCGTATGTATGGAAGTCTATGGGAGGAAAAGCCCAGTGTGACCGCAGCTTTAAGGAGAACAGAAAGAGCAGCCGGGAGAGGAGAGAGAGCACACACACACACACACAAACACACACAAACACACACACACACACACACACACACACACATAGTCTCATGTGTGGTGCAATTTATAATTATAAAAAAAACATTTTTGCTCACCTGAATCATCGACCCTGTCTTCTTCCCAAAACAACGAACTTTACTACACTCGACCTCCTTTACTCAAGTTTTGAGTTGGCATGTGATGCAATGTAACTTAAATTCAACAAATGGACCATTAAAATAAAGTGTGACCAAAATAGTACAATAGCATTAACACAGTTCTGGGGTTACAGGTAAAATCAAAAAACAAAAAACATTGAAATTAAAATATGATTTTAAAAGTCAATCAAAAATGGCACTGTTCTTAAACAGTAAAAAGAAAACTGCTTTACTTAAATGTAACGTGTTATTGTTTGCATTAGACGGTTAAAAGTGTGTTCATTTACTTTCCTCTGCTTACCACTAGAAGGAAGCCTGCATACCACTACTGGTCTTAGTGTATATAGACGAAATATTTTGGTGCATTCAAACAAAACAGTTACCTTTATTACAATACGAGTATGGTCACCTAACAAGTTTTGGATTAGAAAGATAATCTGTTTAAATACAAATTAAGTGTTGCAAAAAACAAACAAACAAAAAAAAAAACAGTTAAGCTAAATTATATATTTGGTTTCTTTTGATTTTTCTTCTTTATTAAAATTGTATTTCATGTTTTTCTCTTTAAATGTTGCACCATGATCTTTGGTACTAACCAATGCAATATATTTACACAAATATATTAGTGTAAAGCATCCTATAAAAAGTAATAATTTTAAAGGGAGATTTGTGAGAAATGTACTCATCTACGTCATATTGTTTGATATTTTGTTGTCCTGCAGGTATTCTCATGTTTCTCCTCTAGAACTGGACAAGTTTCTGGAGGATGTGAAGTAAGTTAAAGTACAGTAGTCATGTCATTACTCTTGTTGTTTGTATCGTGTTACTGGACATGTGTGTCTTATTGTTCAGGAATGGCATTTACCCTCTGATGAACTTTGCGTCCGCTCGACCCCATCCTGTACCTCGCGCTCTCTCAATGTCCCAAGAGCAGGTGGAGGCGGTGAAAACACCCACGCCGGAACCACAAGAGGCTGAAACCAGGAAGGTGTGTGTTTCTGTGGAAAAAAACAACAAAAACACTACCCATAATTCATTTTGGTCAGTTTATGTCTTGTTTAATCTCAATCGTTTTTATTGTTCTAGGTTGTACAGATGCACTGTAACCTGGAGTCAAATGAAGAGACGACTAAAACACATGTGAGTAACATATGGAAAATATTATTATTCACTCATTTATTTTCTTAGTCCGTTTTGTTAATTAGGGGTCGCCACAGCGGAATGAACCGCTAACTTATCCAGCATATGTTTATGCACAGATGTCCTTCCAGCTGCAAACCATGATTGAGAAACACCCATACACTCCCATACACTATGGAAAATTTAGCTTACGCAATTCACCTATAGTGCATGTCTTTGTACTGTGGGGAAAACCGGAGCAACCGGAGGAAACCCATTTCAACACGGGGAGAACATGCAAAAATCCACACAGAAATGCCAACTGACCCAACCCAGCCTCGAACCAGCGACCTTCTTGCTGTGAGGTGACAGCGCTACCTACTGCGCCGGCAAAAGTATTATTATATCAGTGCAAATCATTTAACAGATTTTAATAATGTGGGTTTTCGGACAGGCCAAAAGACAGTCATTTTAAAATTCATTTTATATATTAAAGCAGAGTTATATGTAAATGTTTAAATGTAATATTTAAATTAGTTTTAATGTTATTTTTACTATTAAATGAGAATTCAAAAGTATTTAAAAATGTAATATAAATTGGAAATAATTCTAGATATATAATAAAGGCTTGATATAATAAAGGCTGCATAATAATAAATAGCTATCAGTTATGTCTATAAAACGCTATTAGTGTAGGCTTTAATTTGGAGCCAAAAATACACGTCGGTAGCCCAGTGGGAGAGGCTTTGTTGCATGTTGCATTGTGCAATCTACAGTATGTCTCTGTTGATTCATCTTTGTTTTGATAATAAAGCTGCTAACTATTATAGTCTTGTAAGATAGTTATGACAACATCTGCTGTGTCTGTGGCTAATGATGTTATTTCTGCTGTTTTACAGCTCACTCTTTTCTTGAAGCTGGATGACAAACTCCATCGGCAGCTCAGTTGTGATATTATGCCAAGTGAGAGAAACCTTGTTTCCCTTGTTTTGCTCCATGTTTCCTTTATTTGAAAAAGACTTTAGCATTCTAATAGGTTGGAGATTCATAGTTGCTCTATTCTATTCTATTCTATTCTATTCTATTCTATTCTATTCTATTCTGTTCTGTTCTGTTATATTCTATTCTATTCTATTTTATTCTATTTTGTTCTATTCTGTTCTTTTCTATTCTGTTCTGTTTTGTTCTGTTTTGTTCTATTCTATTCTGTTCTATTCTGGTCTGGTCTGTTCTGTTCTGTTCTGTTCTATTTTGTTCTATTCTAATATATTCTATTCTGTTCTGTTTTGTTCTACTTTGGTCTATTCTATTCTGTTCTGTTTTGTTCTATTCTGTTCTATTCTATTCTGTTCTATTCTGGTCTGGTCTGTTCTATTCTATTCTATTCTATTCTATTCTATTATATTATGGTCTGTTCCTTTCTATTCTGTTCTGTTTTGTTCTATTATATTCTGTTCTATTCTATTTTGTTCTGGTCTGTTCTGTTCTGTTCTATTCTGTTCTGTTTTCTATTCTGTTTTGTTCTATTCTGTTCTATTCTATTCTGTTCTGTTCTTTTTTGTTCTATTCTGTTCTGTTCTATTCTGTTCTGTTCTATTTTGTTCTATTCTGTTCTGTTCTATTCTGTTCTGTTCTATTCTGTTCTGTTCTGTTCTATTTTGTTCTATTCTGTTATGTTCTATTCTGTTTTGTTCTATTCTGTTCTGTTCTATTCTGTTCTGTTCTATTTTGTTCTATTCTGTTCTGTTCTATTCTGTTCTGTTCTATTCTGTTCTGTTCTGTTCTATTTTGTTCTATTCTGTTATGTTCTATTCTGTTCTGTTCTATTCTGTTCTATTCTGTCCTGTTCTATTCTGTTCTGTTCTATTCTGTTATGTTCTATTCTGTTATGTTCTATTCTGTTATGTTATATTTTGTTCTGGTCTGTTCTGTTCTGTTCTATTCTGTTCTATTCTGTTTTGTTCTATTCTGTTCTATTCTATTCTGTTCTGTTCTATTCTGTTCTATTCTGTTCTGTTCTGTTCTATTTTGTTCTATTCTGTTATGTTCTATTCTGTTTTGTTCTATTCTGTTCTGTTCTATTCTGTTCTGTTCTATTTTGTTCTATTCTGTTCTGTTCTATTCTGTTCTGTTCTATTCTGTTCTATTCTGTTCTATTCTGTCCTGTTCTATTCTGTTCTGTTCTATTCTGTTATGTTCTATTCTGTTATGTTCTATTCTGTTATGTTATATTTTGTTCTATTCTGTTCTGTTATGTTCTATTCTGTTATGTTATATTTTGTTCTATTCTGTTCTGTTCTATTCTGTTCTGTTCTATTCTGTCCTGTTCTATTCTGTCCTGTTCTATTCTGTTATGTTCTATTCTGTTTTGTTCTATTTTGTTCTATTCTGTTCTGTTCTATTCTATTCTATTTTGTTCTATTCTGTTATGTTCTATTCTGTTTTGTTATATTTTGTTCTATTCTGTTCTGTTCTATTCTATTCTATTTTGTTCTATTCTGTTTTATCTTTTCTAATCTGTTTTATTCTATCCTATTTTGTTCTGGTCTATTTTGTTTGATTGTATTCTTTTCTATTCTGGTCTGTTGTTTCTATTCTATTCTTTCTATTTTAATCTGTTCTATTCAATTATATTATGTTCTATTCTATTCTGTCTATTCTATTCATTTTTATTCTATTCTGTTCTATTCTATTCTATTCCTTTCTTTTCTATTCTATTAATTTTTATTCAAATCTATTCTGTTGCATTCTATTCTATTCTGTTCTGTTCTGTTCTAAAAAAAATAGTTGAACATAAAACGACATCTTTAACTTTTTATTAAAGCAATGTACTAAATTCTCATACATGCATGTTGTGATTTCAGGTGACAGCTCTAGAGATTTGGTCAATGAGCTCATCCATCATTCCTTCATCAGTGAGGTGAGACCAAAAACTGTACATTTTTCTTTTCATCATGACCGCACATCATCTGATATTCATTTTTGCGAATTTAAAACTCAAAGAAGCAGCACTAACAGATAAGTGTTCACTTTGTTCAGCGTCTTGCTAAATTTGACCATCATTTCCCACAGGAGGATGGTGACAAGATAGTGACGTTCCTGGAGGACGCTTTGAACCGACACCGTGGGTCAACCAGTGCCATTACAACAATATGAATGTCAGTGGCCTGTTGCTATTATGATGGACATACCAGTGGAGCCTGAAAGGGAGGGCAGTGGACACAATGATCCGTTTGTCAGTTAGTGTGGATAGTTTGAAATTGAGACGAAATCAAGATGGCACAACATGGCATGCTGGTTCCTCTGACGTGATTGACCAGCTTAGAGGGCACCGATAATGCCTCCCTGAGTCTTCGTCCAGCACTTCCAGGTATCACTTTAGAGACTGTCCTTCCCAGAACTCCATGGGGGACTCAAGGGCAAGGCGGTCTCTCTTGATATGGGTTGTAATGTAGGAGGTGTCTGCTGTGAAGAGCTAAATATGTGATAAATAAAAAAGTCAGGAAAGTTATTTGACCTGAAGATTATTTTGCCATTCAATAGTTGCTAGGCCTGAAACATTCTTTACGCAAGTATGCAGATGACTGCTAACTTTGTAGAAACCAAAAAAAAAACGTATAACGATCTGGGCTGGTCAGTATAGCAAGTATATTACACATGAAGGTATACATTTTGCTTTATTTTTTATTCTGTTATTGATGTGTTGGAGAAACATATGAATGTGTAAATAAAAAAAGTGTAAAATGCTTATTATTAAATAGAGTTAATAAGCACAATCAGCTTTGAAAAAAAAGACTCATTGAATCAGCATTAGTTGACAAACATGTGAATATTATTATAATATTTTTCTTACTATTATTCACTCACCGGCCTCTTTATTAGGTACACTTTACTATTACCAGATTGGACCCCCTTTTTCTTTCAGAACTGCCTTAATCTTTCGTGGCGTAAATTCAACAAGGTCCTGGAAATACTTCTTAGAGTTTTTGGTCCATATTGACATGATAGCATCACGCAGTTGCTGCAGATTTGTCGGCTGCACATCCATGATGCAAATCTCCCGGTCCACCACATCCCAAAAGTGCTTTATTGGATTGAGATCTGGTGCCTGTGGAGGCCATTTGAGTACAGTGAACTCATTGTCATGTTCAAAAAACCTAAGATGATTCACGCTTTATGACATGGCGAGTTATCCTGCTGGAAGTAGCCATCAGGAAATGGGTACACTGTGGTCATAAAGGGATGGAGATGGTCAGCAACAGTACTCAGGCAGGCTGTGGTGTTGACATAATGCTCAGTTAGCACTAATGGGCCCAAAGTGTGCCAAGAAAATATCCCTCACACCATTACACCACCACCACCAGCCTGAACCGTTGATACAAAGCAGGATGGATTCATGCTTTCATGTTGTTGACGCCAAATTCAGACCCTACCATCCGAATGTCGCAGCAGAAACCTGACTCATCAGCCCAGGCAACGTTTATCCAATCTTCTATTGTCCAGTTTTGATGAGCCTGTGCGAATTGTAGCCTCAGTTTCCTGTTCTTAGCTGACAGAAGTGGCACCCGGTGTGGTCTTCTGCTGCTTTAGCCCATCCGCCTCAAGGTTGGTCATGTTGTGCGTTCAGAGATGCTCTTCTGCATACCTCGGTTGTAACGAGTGGTTATTTGAGTCTATAAGCCAGTCTGGCCGTTCTCCTCTGACTTCTGTCAATTCATCATTGCTTTTAGGATATGTGCCAAAACACTGATAAAGCTGGCTGTTATTAAATCTCAAACTTCATTTTAGAGATTTTGTTAACCACAGACCGTTTTCATTTATGATTTTCTGTCAAAAAGTTGTATATACTTGCAACTACAGTATGTTTTGTTCCTGAAACAGAATGGTACTGTTAGGAATTCAGGTTTTAGATCATTATGCCACTCATTAAAGCTACAATTAGTTCTCTTTTTATTATTTTAGATCACAAAATTATTTTGGGTATAGGCTCAAGAATTGTGTTGGCATTAGTGGGATTGCATTGGCACCTGGCCTTTATCAGTTTGTAGCAGTAAATGAAGAGGCATTATATTGCTCATTCATTCATTCATTTTCTTCGGCTTAGTCCCTTTGCTCATCAGGGGTCGTCACAGCGGAATGAACCACCAACTTATCCAGCATACACAGCAGATGCCCTTCCAGCTGCAACCAAGTACTGGGAAACATCCATACACACTCATTCACACACATACACTACTGCCAATTGACCTATAGTGCATGTGTTTGGACTGTAAGGGAAACTTGGATGGGTCAGTTGGCATTTCTGTGTGGAGTTTGCATGTTCTCCCTGCGTTCCAGTGGGTTTCCTCCGAGTGCTCCGGTTTCCCCCACAGTCCAAAGACATGCGGTACAGGTGAATTGGGTCGGCTAAAATTGGCCATAGTGTATAAGTGTGATTGAGTGTGTATGGATGTTTTCCAGTACTTGGTTGCAGCTGGAAGGGCATCTGCTGCGTAAAACATATGCTGGATAAGTTGGCGGTTCATTCCACTGTGGATTAAGCCGAAAAGAAAATAAATGATTGAATGAATGAATGAGTTTCTTGTACTATGAAATATTCTGATTGTTCATCCCTAGTCAAACCTAGCCGTAAAGTCAGTATATCTTGCGAATACATGTAAATAAGGTTATACAAGTTTTTACCAAAAATTTTTCTTCAAATATTTAATTACGAATTGCTATGAAAGTAATATTAATTAGCTTTTTTCCCTTATTGTGGCATTAAACAACCTCTGTACTCAATGCAAACGATATCAGAAAACCCCCAGTGTGTTGTTATTCAGATAACCTGCTAAACATGTTTAAAGCTAGCATTATGCTAGCTAAGCACTAGCATTTACACTGTTTTACTTGTGTAGATAATGTTTCTGTCCTGAGGGAAGTATAAAATTTGCAGTAATATGTCAGGATTGGAGGCGGTGCAGTAGGTAGTGCTGTCACCTCACAGCAAGAAGGTCGCTGGTTCGAGCCTCGGCTCAGTTGGCGTTTCTGTGTGGAGTTTGCATGTCCTCCCTGCGTTCACGTGGGTTTCCTGCAAAGACATGCTGTACAGGAGAATTGGGTAGGCTAAATTGACCCCAGTGTATGAGTGTGAATGAGTGTGTGTGAATGTTTCCCAGGGATGGGTTGTGGCTGGAAGGGCTGTTCTTCAGGGCTGTGAATGAATGAATGTCAGGATTGGACTGAAGAGTCAGCTAGGCTGTACAGTTTTTGGAGAGTATATAGTTTTCCCAAAATGCTTTCTTCCAAATGTATATTACAAAAGAAATTGCTTTAACTGATATTGTTATGCCCGTTTAATAATCAATATGATTGTCATTTTCTCTGCAGTCTCCATGTCAGCTATCACAAGAATGTCTTAATATACAGTTTAAGTGTTTTGCAAGAAACATTAACAGGAATGTATTGCCTTAATATTAATGTTACTATTTACCAGTGTTTAATTGAGAATAGTATCAAACACACTCATTTTATTCAAAATCATGTAAGCCTGCTTAGTCAAACAGCTAACCAACTATGTGGTTTTGGATATGTTTTTATTCTGTAATGTATTAAAATGTGCATTTCTCTGGGAAACACAGATTGGCATGAGCATTTAAAACTCAATAAAGGCTATGAAATGAATGACTCTGTTATTTCTGTAACTCATTTTGTCAGATTTAATCATCTTATTGATGATATTTTACAGCAGTGTTTCCCAACCCTGTTCCTGGAGGCACACCAACAGGACATATTTTGAACATCTCCCTTATCTGACCCATTCATTTCAGGTTTTCAAGTCTCTATTAATGTTCTGAGAAGCTGATTCAGGTGTGTTTGATAGTAGGCTACACATTTTTTACTTTAAAACTTCAACAGATTGCTATTCTTTTCTAATGATATATGATGTAATAAATTTGTATTTTAAAAATTAGACTTGTTTTAAATGTTTATTGCAATTTTTTGGAAATATTTTTAGTACATCAAAAGTGTAGTTATGATGAGATCTGACTAGTTAATCCAGCAAAAAGAAATAAATAAATTAATTAATTAATAAATATTCACTAAAATGCAGTATTTAAACAGAAACTGAGGCGTATAACTGCAAAAAGGTCCACTTTTTGAGAAAAAAAGATCTCCTTTCACCAGGCTGGCTACGTGCAGTAACGTGCGTGAGCAGTTATCTAGATCAGTGGTTCTCAAAGTGGGGGTCGGGACCCCCTGGGGGGTCGCGGGACAATGACAAGGGGTCGCTTGGTGATATCCAAAACTAAAATAAATTTTATTAAACTATCAGAATTACCATATTTTATTCATAAACGACAGAATATAGTTAATAGTTGCATTCAAGAAACAACAACATAAAAAAACATTTAGCCATCAGCCTTTAATTTTAAAAGCAAAATGTAATTAAATCCATAAATGACTTTAAAAAACATTATATGGCTAATAGACTGTTGCATTTTTGTGTTGTCAATAAGCTCATGTTTATATTTGCCCAGGCCCGGATTGGCTAATCGGGAGGACCGGGAGAATTCCCGGTGGGCCGGTCCGTTTTTTGGCCGCGAGGGCCGGTGTCCCTAGCTCTAGAATCTGTTGCTCTCAGCAATCACACTTTTTAAATTTATTTATTTACTTGACCACAGCCTTTTTATTCATTATTATACCGCAACTCTTCTCTTTTGATCTATTTCAAGGATAATAAAACTCAGTTGTGTCATCATCCATAAAACAGTAGTTGTGGTCGAGCGGATAGTACGTTAGATTTAAACGCTGCGGACCTGGGTTCGATTCTCGTTAGAGTGATTTAGTGTTTTCATTTTTATTGATAAGACATATAATGATTGTTGAACATTTGAAGTTCTAAAGCAGCTGTTTTCTCAAAAAAAAAAAAAAGAAGTGATAGTGTCATTAGAAACTGATTTGGAAATATTTATTTATTTACTTATTTTAATACAGTCAGTCGTGAACTGAGGTGGGCCGGTCTGAGGCTTGAAATTCCAGAGCTGAAAAGGTGTCCCACTCCGGCCCTGTATTTGCCTATAGTTGTGTCTGCAACGTTTACATATTTACACCACCTTGAAAAATGGGGGTCGCGAGCCACTGATATGATTATTTTTGGGGTCGCGGGCTGAAAAGTTTGGGAACCCCTGATCTAGATAGATTAAACTGAACTCAGACTAGTCAGATCAAATGATCTTCAACTTGCTGTTATGGAACCAATTTAAGAGTGGAGTGGACATTTAGTTCGGCTCATTGAAGTCAGGCTTTTGACTTTAATCCCCGCTATTCTAAACGACTTTTATGAAACAGCCCCAGGTGTGTCTGATTAGGGTTCGAACTAAACTTTGCTGGACATTGGCCATCCAGGAACGAGTTTGGACACCTCTAATTTTTAAACACAGCTGACATAGTGCGAGGCTACGGTTTGCGTCACGACGCCGCAGTGAAAAAACGCACGTTATGTTTCAAATATTCGATGGCGACAAACTAACACGACAATGTTGAAGAGTAAAAAACATTGTGCACAGCGGGAAAATGACAATAAACTGAATCGGCAATGTCAACTACATGAGGTAAGTAACGGCTGGAGGTAGATAATTAATAGACTCGCCTGTATTTAAATCATTGATATATCAATTTGTTCAGTATTCCAGCACACTTCGTGTTTTTTTGCTTTGTAATGCATTGTTATCCTCCCAAACAGCTTTCAACCCTTGTGAAAAAATACTATAGTGATTTATTGTAAATACTACAGTGT